TCCAATTGATTTCTGAAGTAGTAGTGGCAACTGATCGATACTCAGCTTCTGTGGATGACCGAGCAATAGTATGCTGTTTCTTGGATGACCAAAAAATAGGATGACAACCAAGATAGACAATATAGGCACTCGCAGAGATAGTCATCTTTATTGCCAGCCCAATCTGCATCTGAGAAGGCATGAAGAGAAAATGGATTTGCCTTACAAAGAAATAAGCCATGAGTCAGTGTGCCACACAAATATCGAAGCAGTCATTTTGCAGCATTCCAGTGTTCAGACGTCGGGCGATGCATGAATTGAGAAAGCTTGTTAACAGCATATGCTATGTCTGGGTGAGTAAGGCAAAGATATTGTAGACTGCCAACAATTGTTCTATATTTTGTGCAGTCATTTAGAGCTGTACCTGAATGAAGTGTGAGATTTCCCTCTGTAACAAGTGGTGTAGCAACAGGTTTTGCACCAGACATTTTTCTCCGAGCAAGAAGATCAGTGATGTAACGCCGTTGAGTAAGCAACAGACCAGATGGAGTGGTGAGAACCTCAATGTCGAGAAAATAAGACAAGGCGCCAAGATCTTTGATTGAAAATCTTTGTGCCAGGAGGTCAATGTAGCGCTGAATAATATTGGGGTTGTTACTTGTGATAATAATGTCATCCACATAAACAAGTAGATATATAGTAATGTCACCTGAGTGGAGAATGAATAGAGAGGTGTCTGCATGAGAGTTTGTGAACCCAGACTCAATGAGGAACTGGCGAAGTTCAAGGTACCAAGCCCATAAGGCCTGCTTGAGTCCATATATAGCCTTCTTTAACTTGTATACATGTGTTGGATTGTCTCTATCAACAAATCCTGGAGGTTGGGCCATGTAGACATCTTCGAAAAGACGGCCTTGAAGAAAGGCATTATTAACATCCAATTGTTGCAACTGCCAACCTCTACTGATTGCCAAGCTTAGAACAAGCCGTATTGTTGTTGGCTTGACAACCGGACTAAAGGTGTCATGATAGTCCACTCCAAGTCACTGATGAAAACCTTTGGCAACTAATCTAGCTCTGTACCTATCAATAGAACCATCAAGAAGCCGTTTAATACGAAAAACCCATTTACATCCAACAAGATTCTGCATAGAAGTAGATGGAACAAGCTCCCAAGTCCCATTCTGAACAAGAGCATCAAATTCATCATTCATAGCTTGTCTCATTTGGGATCTTTAAGGGATTGGTTAACAATATGAGGCTCAATGTATGAAGGCTGAGAAAGGACAGCAGTGAGATTCATCTTGGTTAGGGGTTTATGGATGTTGTTTTTTGCTCTAGTGTCATGGATGGGTATTTTGATGGGTGTTTTAAGTTGTGTGGAGGTAGAAGAAGTCTCAGAATTGTGGGGTTCTGGTAGTAAATGGTTGACCGTGGTTTCTTGGCAGGCAACAGAACTGTGTCCGAGTAAAGGGAGGTCTGTGGACAGAGGTCGACGGTCGACTAGCGAGGAGGGGCAGTCGACTGTTTGGGTATTGTGTGACAGATGTTGACACGAGGAATCCCTTGTGGAGGCGTATTAAGTGAGCCACTTGAAGTGGGTAGAGTTTGGCCCGGGGGAAGCCATTTGGAAATGATCTCTGGAGTGGGACGAGTTAAATGGGATTGGTGATTGGTAAAGGGAAAAGAGTTTTCGAGAAATTTGACATGACGAGAAATATATGTTTTAGAAGTGGACAGGGCAAGATAGATATAGGCACTTTGTGATGAAGAGTAACCAAGAAAAACACAAGCGGTGGAACGAGAGTCAAGTTTATGTTGAGAATAAGGACGAAGCCACGGATAACATAAGCCACCGAACACCTGAAGTTTAGTGTAGTTGGGTGGAGACTCAAAGAGTTTTTCAAAAGGAGATGAAAGATGTAGTGTGGGTGTGGGCATATGGTTAATGAGGTATACAACAGTGGCAAAGGCGTAAGTCCAATAAGTTAGAGGCATTGATGCATAAGTGAGAAGAGCTAGATCGGTTTCAACAATATGGTGATGACTTCATTCGGAAAGACCATTATGTTCTGGTGTATGGGGTGGTGTAGTAAGATGCAATATGCCATTGGTGGAGAGAAAATGATCAAGGGCTTGATATTCGCCACCATTATCTGAATAAAGGGT